GTTTCCTTTTGATTTAGGTTAACATGAAGTTGAAAATAAAATGTAAGCATTGTTTACATTAATAATTATTTTTTTCTGTTTAGATTCATTCTAACAACAAATAAAAAGTAAGTATTATTTACTTACATATATATATATATTAATTTTATTTAGTTCAATATAAAATTCAAAATAATATGTAAGTATTATTTAAAAAAAATCTTCTTTTTAATTTGGACCAATCACAACAACGAAATCAAAAGTAAGCATGATATACTTATATATATTTTTTTTAAATTTTATTTAGCTCAATATGAAATTCAAAATAATATGTAAGCATTATTTTAAAAAATCTTCTTTTTAATTTAGACCAATCGCAACAACAGAATCAAAAGTAAGTATTGTTTACTTATATGTTTTTTTTGATTTAGGTTAATATGGAGTGCAAAATAATATGTAAGTATTGTTTATATCAATCTTTTTTTTCTATTCAGATCAGTCGCAACAACAAAATCAAAAACAAGTATTATTTACTTATATATCTTTTTTAATTTTATTTAGTTCAATATGAAATTCAAAATATATATAAGTATTATTTGCAAAAAAAAATCTTCTTCTGTATTTAGACCAATCGCAACAACAACTGAAACAAAAGAAAGTATTATTTTTTTATATATGTTTCGTTTTTTATTTAGGTTAGTATGAAATTCAAAAATAAAATGTAAGTATTATTTATATGTATTATTATCTTTTTCTATTTAGGTCCATTAGAACAAGGAAATCCAAAGTAAGTATTTATTTATATGTATATATTTGTTTTTCTTTATTTAGTGCAATATGAAGTTCAAAATGATATGTAAGTATCATTAACATTAATAATTATCTTTCTGTGTTTAGATCCATTGCAACAAGAAATCAAAAGTAAGTATTATTTACTTATAGATATATTTTTTTAATATTATTTAGTTCAGTATGAAACTCAAAATGATATGTAAGTATTATTTTAAAAAAATCTTCTTTTTTATTTAGACCAAAAGCAATAATGGAAACAAAAGTAAGTATTAGTTTCTTATGTATATATTTCTTTTTTTATTTAGGTAGTATGGAGTTCAAAATAATATGTAAGTATTATTTATCTGTATTATTATCTTTTTCTGTTTAGATCAGTTAGAACAAAGAAATCCAAAGTAAGTATTTATTTATATGTATATATTTGTTTTTCTTTATTTAGTACAATATTAAGTTCATAACAATATGTAAGTATTATTTACATAAATTTATTTTTTTTGTTTAGGTTCATCGCGACAAACGCAATCATAAGTAACGCTGGGGACTAATCTTGAGGCACACCATTTCAACCTGTTACTCTTTCCCCTTGCATAACAACAAACAATTTTAGAAAACAGCGGTACCAAAGTTCACAACTATACGAGTTCTTCTAAGCAAAAAACAAATTGTTAGTTCGAATGATACTCCACAATAAATTTTAGATTGTCAAATTAATAAAAAAAATATCTTATTTGGCGGTCTAAACTTTATTGTGGAGTATCATTCGAACCACTTACAATTTGTTTTTTGCTTAGAGGGACATGTACAGTTGTGAACTTTGGTATCGCTGTTTCCTAAAATTCTTTGTTGTTATGCTAGGGGAAAGAGTAACAGGTTGAAATGGTGTGCCTCGAAACTAGTCTCGAGTGTGAGTGTGTTTTATACACTCTTTCCGAAACCCTTGTATGGGTATATGAGTGTTTTCTAAACCCTTATATGGGTTTTTTGAATGTGCCCTAAACCGTTATATGGGTTTATGAGAATTTCCTAAACCCTTATATGGGTTTATGAGTATTTCCTAAACCCTTATAATGGGTTTATGAGAATTTCCTAAACCCTTATATGGGTTTATGAGAATTTTCTAAACCCTTATATGGGTTTATGAGAATTTCATAAACCCTTATATGGGTTTATGTGTATTTCCTAAACCCTTATATGGGTTTATGAGCATTTCCTAAACCCTTATATGGGTTTTTTGAATGTGTCCTAAACCGTTATATGGGTTTATGAGAATTTCCTAAACCCTTATATGGGTTTATGTGTATTTCCTAAACCCTTATATGGGTTTATGAGCATTTCCTAAACCCTTATAATGGGTTTATGAGAATTTCCTAAACCCTTATATGGGTTTATGAGCATTTCCTAAACCCTTATAATGGGTTTATGAACGTTTCCTAAACCCTTTGCTCAATCCCATCCGTACTTGGTGACCGTCATAAACCATTTTGAGGGTTTATGTAAGGGTTTATTGATTTCCTAAACCCCTTCATATACCCTTACTAAGGGTATATCGAAGGGTTTATGATTTTCCTAAACCCTTAAAAGGGTTGTTGAAAGTGTAACGTATAATAAACCCTTAAAGGGTTTATGAACTTCCTAAACCCTTTCCTAAACCCTTTGAAAGGGTATATGAAAGGGTTTAGGAATTTCCTAAACCCTTTAATAAACCCTTTTTAAGGGTTTAGGAAAATTTTCCATACGGTAAAAAGGGTTTATTATACGTTACACTTTCATCAACCCTTTTTGGGTTTATTATTCTACGAATTTTTTTTACAGTGTACTTCATATACCTCCAAGTCAATCATACACTGTTCAAGCCAAAGTCGAATTATCATCAGCTGATACCGTCTACTTCTCGCTTGTCGATGTTATACAATCCGAAAAATCTATTGTCATGTTCCCATCGTTGTTACACATACATAATTATACCTCATATTTGGAAATATATAATCCACATGATTATACCTACACTTTACCAACAAATACTCTTCTAGGTCGAGTAGCCCACACATCGTATCAAACACATTCATGCTTATTATTTGATCCATCTAGTACATCCTCGTCGTTATCTTCTCAACATCATATTCTTAATACAATTGAATTCAAATAAACACCTTCTGAAACATCACAAACACTTGATAACTTAACTGCTCATATTACAAATGTTCAAGATAAACAACAATTACGTTTTATATTACAACAACACATGAAAATTTTTGACATTTCGAACGTCACACAAGCCAACACACATATTCAGCACACTATTAACACCGATGATAATCTTCCGATTAGTTCACGACCATACCCAAGAACAACACAACAACGACGTGAGCTTCAAGATGAAATCCAAAAAAATGATACAAACTAATCAAATTTGTCCATCAAATCCACCTTGGTCATCTTCAGTTATTATTCACAAAAAAAAGGATGGTGGTATTCGATTTTTAGTGGATTATCGAAAATTAAACCCGGTGACCAAAAAAGAGTGTTTTCCTCAACCAACAACTGACGAATTATTACATTGATTAGATGGTCATCGCTTTTATACAAAATTAGATCTTAAATCAGGTTATTTTCAACTTCCAATACATGAAACAGATAAAGAAACAACAGCCTTTATCACATAAGATGGTTTATGGAAGTTCAATGTTCTTCCACAAGGTATTATGAATGGACCATCAACTTTTCAAAGGATTATGCACAATCTTCTTGGTTATGGACGCTGGGATTATGTCATGGTTTCTTTAGATGATATTTTGATATTTTCACGTAGCTTTGATGAACATAAAAAACATTTAAACGAAATCTTATCCATATTAGCTAAAGCCAACTTCCAAGTTAATCCTGATAAATGTTCTATTGCTGTTCAAAAAATAGATTTTTTAAGTCATACAATCAACGAATAATGCATTAAACCTAATGTTGATAAAATTAAAGCTATTATTAATTTACCAGCTCCAAAAACATTAAAAGAAGCAAATGAATTTTTAGGAAAAATCAATTGGTATCGAAAGTTTATTCCTGATTTTGCTCGTATAGCTGCACCATTACACAAAGTTACTAACAAAATAAAACATCATCGACATGAATTTACATGGGGACCTGAGCAACAACAGTCATTTGATGAATTTAAACGTATTCTGACAATATATCCATTATTTTTAGAATATCCAGATTTATCAACTCCATTTGTATTAACAACGGATGCATCAGTATTGGAATAGGTGGAATTTTACGTCAAGATACACCAAATGACACGAAAATTAATTCCTTTAAGTCATGCGTTTTAAATGACACTGAACGTAAATGTGATACATTTGAAAAAGAAGCTTTAGCTATTTTCTGGTGCATTTCTTAACTTCGATTATATATAGATGATTCCAATTTTATCGTCGAAACCGACCATAAACCACTTGAAAATTTTCATACCAAACAAATCAATAATACACGAGTGATGAATTGCCTTTTTAAATTATAAGATATTTTGCCATAAATTATTGCAGTCAAGTATCATGCAGGTGCAAATAACACTGCCGCCGATGAGGGTGTGGGTGTGGGTGTGGGTGTGGGTGTGGGTGTGGGTGTGGGTGTGGGTGTGAGTGTGGGTGTGGGTTGATGTGGATGTCGGGTGTGGGGTGAGTGTGAGTGTGAGTGTGGGTGGGTATGTGTGTGGGGTGTGAGTGTGATTGAGGGTACGAATAGAAAATCCACACCTACAGTCACAGCCACAGTCACACCCCACACCCACACCCATCCACATGCCACCCACACCCACATTACCCTCCCACACTCACACCCAAAATGCATATGCGTTTAATATTATTATTAATAACAAATATGATTGGAATTTATTTAAATGGTTCTTTGGATATAACAATGCGTTCAGCATATAATCAATTATTCTAAAGTAAGTTTTTATTCTGATAAAACAAAATAATACATAATTAAAATAGATGCTAATGTTTGTCGTTCATTATTAACCGAACATACATTAATATCAAAAATGTTTGATTCATTAATGCCACGTAAATATGCTAAAGTAATAATGGAAGATTTTCAGGTATTTCGTGAACGTCTACAATATGTAAATACATCACATAAAGGTGATGATGATTTACAGATGACAGTTTTTCGTCCATTACATGTTGAAAGAATGGAAAATGCTTCAATTTTATTTGCTGATATTGTTGGTTTTACACATTTGTCATCAAATAAAAGTGCATCACAATTAGTATCATTATTATCCGATTTATATGGACGATTTGATGATTTATGTGTGAAAATGTCATGTGAAAAAATAGCCAGATTAGATGTTTGTTATTATTGTGTTACTGATTGTCCTGAACCGTGAGAAGATCATGGTATAGCATGTGTTTTAATGGGTTTATCTATGATTAATGCTATTGAAGAATTTGATGAAGATAATAATGAACAAGTTGATATGAGAGTTGATGTTGATTCAGGTTCTGTTAATTGTGGTATTGTTGGTACAAGAAAATGTAAATTTCATAGTTTTTCAAATAATGTTACATTAGCTAATAAAATGGAATTAAGTGGAAAATCGGGTAAATAATATTAACCCTTTGGAGACGGTGGGACATATTTGTCCCACCTATTTTTCAGTAGAGAAAAAAGTGTTTCGTTCACACTAAACTATTAAATATGTAAGGTCATTAAGGTCATCAACAACCGTATTTGTCATCTTATACTTTTTTTTCTTTCTTTCTTTCTCTCATATAAATTCTTTTCAAATATCCTTTGCTTTTGCTGCTAAGGTACAGTGTCGTCATAATTTCTCTCTTCATTTCTGATATTTTGTTTTTCGAGAATATTTTCCTTGTCTGTTGCGTATATATATACTCCTGTTCTCATTGACGAATTTACGTTGTTCTTGAATTTGCAAAGCAAATTATTTCCCTTTCGAACTTGTAGTCTTTATTTCTTTATACCGTTTTCACAATTAAAACTAAACAAATGGAATTCTATGGAAATAATGAAGTCTACGACGCGTTCTGTAATTCATATACCAGTGATGACTCCAGCGAGAGCAACTTCGATTTCGATTACGATGAACTAGTCGATAACTTAGATGAGTTTGAACTTTCTGATGAAGATTTGGATGTATATGCAGAGGAGCTGAATGCAATGAATGAAATTTATATCACAGATGGCGACTTTACATCAATCTCTCTCAAAGAGCGAACTCCAGTTTCAGTCTTTAGAATTTCTTTTTACTGAAGAAATTTAAAACCTGATTCACTGATCAAACAAACATTTATGGAAAAGGAAAGAAATGAAGTAACAATCAGAATAAGACCAGTACTGGAAAGATGTGAGCAAGAAAGATATTGCATCGTTTCTCGAGTTGATTATTCTAATGGGTATCAATAACTTGCCAAATATGAGACTTTATTGGAGTAAAGATATGGTATTCCATCATACATTTATCTCTTTGATCATGTCAAGAGATCGTTTTCTTCAAATATATTATAATTTATATTTGGCTGATAGTTCATTGGAACCAAAACGAGAATCTAAAAACTACAGTAAAATTTACAGAGTTAAGAATTTTACTGAAATTTTACGGAGAAATTTTTAGAAAAATTATAACTTTGGCCGCTATGGTACAATCGATGATAGTATAATAAAATCCAAGGGAAGATCAATCCTCAAGCAATATTTACCTCCAAAACCAATAAAAAAAAGGGGTATAAAGTTTGGTGTTTGTGATCCAATCACTGGTTACTTATTCAGCTATCAAATCTATTTAGGAAAAGAAGAAACCAGTGAAAGAGAAATGCCTTTGGACGAACGTGTTGTTTTCGATCTTATCTCTGGTCATAATTTTGAAGAAACACATCTATATTTGGATAACTTTTTCACTTCTCTCGGATTGTTAGAAAAGCTAAAATTACAGAACATAAAAGTCAGTGGAACAATCAGATCAGATCGCGCAAGTATTCCGTCGAATTGTGCCAAGAAAGATAAAATGGAACAAGGGGATTACAAGTCAATGATTATATCGAACAGCATTGTGTTCATATGGACGGATACCAAACACGTTTTGTGGCTTCAAATTATCATGAAGACAACAAAGTTATTCCGATTACCCGCCGATTGAAAAATGATCAACGTATTACAATTAGCTGTCTAACAGCAATAAAAGATTACAATCATTTTGTACATGGAGTTGATCGACTGAACCAACGAATATCCTGCTACAAGCTTGATCACAAGTCTAAAAGAAACTGGCTCCGAATTTTTAGTTATTTTCTAAATGTATCTATTTCCAACTCATTTATTTGTTATAATCAGTTAGCTCAGAATAAATTAACATACTTAGACTACATGGTTTCAGTGGCGAAGTTTCTGTGCTCCGGCAGTGAACAAATAAGTCGTGGAAGATCTTCTTCTGAAAAGAAGTCTAAACTAGCATTACCAAAAATTGTCCTTAATTTTGATAATGAAATGCATTAGCTTGTGAAAGGAAAAAGAAGAAGATGTGCTTATTGTAGCACCAAGGAAACAGATTGTCGATCCAACATTGAATGCTTTACTTGCAAATTGCCATTTTATATGAAAGATGAAAAAAATTGTTTCTTGTGATTATCGTAAGATTTTTATGTAGCCATTTTGAGTTAAAATAAAATAAAAAGGTTGAAAAATGTTTTTTTGATTAAAAAAAAATTTCGTCCTCAAAGGATTATTTATTTTTTGTTAATAATCAGTACAAATATGAACACAAATTTACTTATCACGGAACCTTCCTTTCAGAAGTATTTCTGCTTTGAGCAAATTATCTTATTTTTCTTTCTTAACTTATATATCTTATCAATATGTATCTTCACATATTGGTGACACCTATGGGAATTTGACATTTTGCACCACCTTTTCATTATGATCCCCGGTAGCAGATGTTCGTTACGATCTCCGGACATAAGAAAACTAAGACAGGGTGTTCGGAATTAGATGTACAAAAGTTCGGAATGACAAAATCAAACAGAAATTTAAAAAACAGGGTGTTCGTAATGAAAGTTGTCCGGGACAAAAATCATTTCCGAACATCCGGACACATGACAGGAGTTTGGAATGACTTAGTGCGAAATGTCCGTCACCCACACCTATATATATGTATATGTTAGTGATAGGCTTATTACTTCTGAACGAATGATAAGTTATATGATTCATTTCTTTATATTTTATTCTCCTTCTAGTTATCTTATTTCAATTTTGTCTAATTCTTCCTTCATTTAGTCATTACTATGTCTGATAAACGTATTCCCTTTCATTTGCGCGACATTAATAATCCACCACCTCATCTTAATGAACAACAACAACAACAACAAACATGGATCGGTACAGCAAAGAAGACGAAGAAGAATCATCAACTACGACAACAATATCCACCATTCGTTGTACCAACATCCATGTATGAAGTGATATATGTCCATAAATACATTCCAATTCAAACAATGCAAATCTTGATCAATCATCTACAAAATTGCAACGAATATACATTTGATTCTGAAAATGAAAAGTCAGATAAACGATTGGCATTGATACAAATTCAAACAATACCTCGTCAATTACCATCATTAGTGATCTTACTGAAACTTACACATTTATCATCAATTAACATTACGCAAGGAAATTTATCCGGCCATGAGTTATCAATTATTTGAATGGTCTATGAAAGAAAAGGTCATCGATATCCAACTTAAATTTCCTGGTTGGTATGCGTGGGCACTATCTCATTGTGAAATATGTAACCCGTCTTGTCGTCATAATGCTACTGTTGATAATACTGATTCTACTGAAAAAATTAATTCATCTTTAATATGTACTTGTCATCAACCAAGTCCGTATCACCATGGTGATAAATGGTCATTACAACAGGCTTTAATTTTTTGCTTGTCGTATGTTTATTGATAAGCTCATGACTGTTAATCATTAGGCATCAGGATCAGATCCGAACTATTCAACTTTATCAACAGCAACACGAAATAAAATGATACACTATGCAATTTACGACTGTTTTGCAACGACATATTTTATTTGTCCTGTTTTACAATATTGGCCATTTCAGCAGGTAACCAACATTAACATTTTTGAATTATTTCAGGCATTACCACCATCATCTCAGGCAAACAACAACATATGGAAAACAAATGTTAATCAACAATGGACTACAAGCATTATTGGCGATGATATTGAATTTATTTCTGATGATGATAATCAATCATCTATAGTATTATCAACTGGTAATGATGATTTATGTATCAACAACTATAATGTGGTTGATGATGACAAAGATTATGAACAACAACATTTACCAGTGAAACGACGATCATGTCGTCAAAGACGAACAATTGAAGCTCGAAAACGACAAAATCGAAAACGGACCAATGTTTTTCGATTAAGACGTTATCATTATTTTATCATCCGTCGAATATAACATCGATTTACTATGAAATCAATTAGAAATATTCTCCATCAATATAACATTCATTATACTCATGTTAAACTTGTAGTTGAATTATTGGTCATTGGTGTCAAAAATGATACAATCAAACAACAAAATGAACAACAATTGCCTAATGATATATTCGATCAATATCATTATTATTCATATCGTCGTCATTCTAAACATTTAACATGAAAATATCATGTGATCGAAATGCAACCAACAACGCCAATAGTAAATATATATATTTTTTTCTCTATTGTTCCATTTTTTGCATTGTCAGATTTGTCTTTCTTTTCGTTATCGTCTTCTTTTTTCTCATTTGGTCCATTTATATTTATGTCAGATGATTTTTCTCTCTCTCATGGAAGCATGTTTTTTTTCTCCTCTACTTCTCTCTCATTTGTGCTTTTGCAAGAAAAAAAGTGTTTTGTAAACAAAAGACCTTTTTTCTGGCCCAGGAAAGGTGTTATGATCCGACATCTATATCATTATTGTTATGTGTATCTTCTCTTTATATTTCTGTCATGCTGATTTTCCTTTTCTCTGTTTTGATGATATATATGTATATGATTGTGATGTTACGATCGTTGATTTGAAATAAACAAAAAAGATTATGTTCTTCTTAAACGAACTTGAAGTGCAAAGAATAGCATAACAACCATGCAAAATATTCTTAGGGACCTTATTCAAACAGTCAAACGTGTTGTTACCATTGCTTGTCGTTTCTTAAGGTTTGTGCACATATGTGAAACCGATTTTTTTCGATCATTTTTGGGTTTTAATATAGTATTCGTTAGTTATATTTTCATTTCACGGTCGAATAAACAGACAAAAATCTACGGTTGAATAAGCATATAAAACACACATGTATTGCAATCTTACCTACCTGTTATTGACTCATTTTTTTGTGACAACATAACGATATAGACACACTTTGCTTTACTCCATGTCGAAACCTACTACGATAACGTCCGAACAAATTGAGAAAACGCTCGCATGGGTTAGAGCCTATTTTGAAGCTTGCGATTCATTAGATATTCCAAGTTTGATCACAAAATTTTATTATCCTGATGCCATCGTACATTACGGCAATCAACCGACGATGAAAGGACACAAAGCGATTACGGATTACTTCGAAGGAGTTTGCACTAAAATGTCAAGCATGAAAAACATGGTCGAACATGTCGAAGTTTTGCCTGAACGAGTCTACGCTCACGTCGAAGGCACCGCTTTTGTCAAGAACGACCCCGAACAGAAACCGATCACCGTGAAGGCACTTATTGTATTTGGAAAGAAAGTCAATGAGGACAAAGCAACCTATGTTGACTGTTTCCTGGATCCGTCTCCTCTTTTCGAACGGGTCAAAATGTACGCTTAAAAATATCTTCGCCAGTTTTTTGAAAACTCATATTATTCTAAACTAATAAATTATTTCAAAAACAACGGATCAAGTCATTCCGCATTGTTACTTCTGTGTGTGTCATAAGGCAGTCGATGATATTCAACAGATACTACTCGTCAGAGATGTAGTGAATTACATAACTCATTTTAGAAAATTTAGCAAAAGCAAAAGAGCAAGACTTCTAAGATTCTGAAAGGTACATATGATTCACGATAGTTAGCACTCAGCGTTATTGGTCGTCGATGACAAACCTTGTTTTTGAATAAATTCAGACAATCTTCTTTTCTTTAGTTATCAATTGACATTTCTATTGTTCTTCGACACAATGGACAATAATGAAAACTGGTTTGCCAAAAGAACTTGATCTATGAGCACCAATTGTTCATCATGATGCGAGCAAAACTGAAAAACAATAGTTGAGCTGACATTTATCCGTTGTTTAAGACTGTACAAGACTTTCTGAAACATCTATATAAATATTTGTATCTGTGGCCAGTCATTTGAGAATTTAGGTGAGATTGCAATTGTTTGTTTATGGCAATGCAATAAATAATGAAGTGTTACTGTTGATTATATAGAATCTATTTTTAAATAAAATGATCAAGACATATGCTTCAGGAAAGCGGAGAAAGATTATCTTTGAATAAGAGCTAATTGTTTTCTTATACAAAATGTGAAAATCAGTTATGATATAGATTTCAAGCCCATAATTGTCTTTTAGATGAGCGAGATATAGAATAATGTAGTGATTGAGGGTGAAGGTGAGAAAGAGTCTTCTCTTCACCCTCACCCATCCCGCCTCATCATCACACTAAAGACATCTTTGAAATGCTATTGGCAGGAACAGATGAAGCAAATATGAGACGCCTCAGTCATCTTCATTATATACTGGACTTATATTATGGTAAAAAAGATGACATTGATGGCTCTGTGTCTCACTACAGCTGATCGGTAGATATCCGCTTCTCATATTTGTCACTGAACGATCATCAACTTACAACAACGTAGCAGGTACTTGCGCGAGTATAGAAAATTCGATGACGCGCTAAAATACTATCTACATGCGCTGAAAATCGAAAACTGCCAACGCATGCATAACCAGGTGGACATCAGTACTAATATCGGCGCCAGAAGTCAGGGCAGTCGGATGTTTTTTGAATAACTTTCGATAGGAACAAGTTAGAGACCTGCGGTTTTCAGCAATCGATAGAAGATTATAGGGGACACATTTTTATATAAAAACAAAGGTTTAAATAATCAGGTACAATAGGAGTAATTTTTGAATCACTGAAAGAATAGGCTTGTTATTTGGTAAAATCTCAGCAGAATAAGCTGAAACTTTCAGCATATACAGCTCCACTGTAGTCCAATCTTTCCTAAAAATATCATTGATACATCTTGTAAAGACGAGGAACGGTATTCCAATCATCATCTAGTCTTACATAAAGCTCTCACTCACTCAATATATTAGAAAATGACTTCAACTTTTGACTGAATAAGTACCATGATCTAGACTTCATCCCTATGCAATAACATCATAGTTTGGTCGTAGAAATGAAGGAAAACAGCCAAAATTCGACGAAGAAATGATTTCCATACAGTAAGTATTTTAAAACAAATCTTCCCAACTTTATCAAGAGAAATGCAGAACTTAGTAATGTTTTCACCGTCTCTTCTCGTTCATATAATCAAACTATGATATAATTGCATCGATATGAAGTCTAGATCATGGTACTTATTCAGTCAAAAGTTGAGGTCATTTTCTAATACATTGAGTGAATGAGAGCTTTATGTAAGACTAGATGATGATTGGCATACCATTCCTCGTCTTTACAAGATTTTTCAATGATATTTTTAGAGAAGATTGGACTACAGTGGAACTATATATGCTGAAAGTTTCAGCTTGTTCTGCTGAGATTTTACCAAATAACGAGCCTATTCTTTCAGTGATTCAAAAATGACTCCTATTGTGCCTGATTATTTAAACCTTTGTTTTTATATAAAAATATGTTCCCTATAATCTTCTATCGATTGCTGAAAATCGCAGGTCTCTAACTTGTTCTTATCGAAAGTTATTTAAAAAACATCCGACTGCCCTGACTTCTGGCGCCGATATTAGTTTGTTTGAAACCAATCTGTTTTAAAAACTAATCGATAAACTAGCGTCATGATTAACAATAATGAAACTATGATTGACGAAAAGGATGTGGGTGTGGATGTATGTATATTGGTGTGGGGTGTGGGTAGGTGTGATTGTGAGTACGGTGACAAGTAAAAAGAAAGTCCACCTACACCCATACACTATCAGTTACGCCGCGAAATCAGTTGCGCCCAATTCCGAGAACTCGATCATCATACAACAGAACAGGTCTACTTGATATTGATTGAATTTCATCAATTCCCGGAATTTCGTGCAATTTCATCTGGATTCAATCCCTGCAATTCCGTACCGGAATTTGGTATTGATTGAATCGATCAATCTTTAAACACATCACCATGCATAAGGGTGAGAACGAGACAGAATTCCGGAATTGGGTCGAATTCCTGGAATTTCAGCAATTGAGGGAAATCGATCAATGTGGAGTAGGCCGCTGATGTTGTGTAATGATCGAGTTCCAGGAACTGGATGAAACTTATTCTGGAGGTGGAACTGGTTTCGCAATGTTCAACATCGTGGAATAGGATGTATGCTCGGCTATCTTGAGAGATTGTGCCATAGTATATTTTTTCAATATACTAAGAGCAACATAGAAACGAATGTTTTACAATTTTCCACAAACATTTTGCTATGCAATTCAGTAAGAAATTCTCGAATTTTGGAATAGCCATCGAATGTAATAGGAAATTAGCAGCAAAAAATCCATATGACTTAAGCAGACTTTCATGATGAACTATTTCTCATTACATCGATACTAGCACAAATATTCTCAACATTCTTTATGATTCTCTGAGGACGGTACATTATAGAACCCTGAATGTCTTATTAAGTCAAGGCTTTCTGTTTTTACGTTTGCAGAAAAACTTTTTTCTTATAAGAACAAAAGGATATTGTGTCAGGACATTTTATGATGAGTTTAAAAAAAATAATCACTGCTAGACAATAGAATCAGATGTCTGACACCTGATCATTTTTTTTGTTTGTCTTTTTTTTCTGGATGGATGTCTTTTTCTATTTATATATGGCGTACGACGCCGCAGCGGTTACATCAGCATAGAAATAAATAATCGAAAAAAAAGAAGCATTCGTCTGCGAACATATTCGACTATACGAAAATGTTATACTTCTTCGCTCAACAACGACAGGACAATCTGTTCTTATTCAATGAGGAGAATGTTAATGAACAAAGAGTCAATAGATAGGTATATATATATATCAGCGTCCGACCTCGAATTCCGTCCAATCTCAGATTGGCCTAGGCGAATCTCGGATTGACGTAATTCTGCTCACTAAAATATCAATTACTCTTTAGACAGACATTGGATTCGAGCTATTTTTTGAAATTATGTTCGCACAATGCTGTTTTAAGTATTACTAGCATGCAGGAAGGATCTAAATTTAGACTCGAAAATTTAATAAAAGTTTTTCACAAAAGTTGTTGTTCTCTAGAAATTTATTCATAACTCCTAAAATTTTACTTAAATCTGTCAAATGACAATTGTGCCAAACAAACTGGCATTGTGCGAACATAACTCAAAAAAAAACAATTCGAATCCAACATCTATCTAGAGACTAATTGATATTGTAATGAACAGAATTGTGTCAATCAGAGATTGGACGCTGACATATATATAGCAATTTAAGAAAAGCATTTCACTACATTTAAATATGAATGAATATAATGTTCATCTACTTGATTTTCCTAATGAAATATTATTCCTTATTTTGAGCCAACTTAACAATATTGACGTTCTTTACTCTTTATTGGATATCGGCATTCGACGACTTGATAATACAGTACAACATCAAATGTTCACTAACATTCTGAATGTTGTATCCATATCACAATCAACTGATGAGGTTTCTTCAATTTCTTCAACAATACTCGATCGATTTTGTGTTGCAATATTACCAAGAATTCATGAAAATGTCAAATCTCTAATTGTTGAATCAGTTTCTATGGAATATACTCTTCGTACTGGTTACTATCCTAGTCTTACTGAACTTAAAATTTTTAATTTCAACAAAGCAATTGTTTCACGTTATTTTATGGGTAAGATATTCATCTTTTCTGATCAATTAAGAGACTAGCATACAAAAATGTTGAGATACTCACATTTAACAATACCTACGTATTTTGTTTAGATGACTCTCTCTTTGGACATAATTATAAACAACAAATTACGGATCTCATGCTTAACAGCGATGAAAATAACATTGGAATAATACCAGTAGAGTATACCAAGAATGTTTATTCAATTATCTTAGCTTTCTTTGATAACCTGAAGCATTTGAGTATTGTTTCATCATCGAACGAAAATTATCCATGTTTTTCCTTGTATAAATTACCACTAACCATTTTTTCCTCTTCGACACTTACTAAACTATGTGTCAATGTCATGGAGTTTAATGATTGTCTTGCTTTACTTGATGGTCGTCTCAAATAATTAACTATATTCATCGTTCAAGTTGTGCATATCAGTGATTCGATATTGACAAATTACAACAGGATGAGTTTGTGCTCCACGTTATTTTCCTATTCTAATTAATATTTAATATCGAAAATAAAGTGAGTTCAATCAACAATGAGATATCTCCATTCGTAAATGTGATGTTTTAATTTTGATTTTCAGAAAACCATTCGAAATAGATTGTTATAGATATTTTGACATTGTTCAAGATGATTTCATAATTGAGCATCACTCATCTGATAGTAATTAATCAATCTTTGTAGTTATGAAGTGTCCTAATAGAAAATAGGGTGTGAGTGTGAGTATGGATATGGGTATTGGTAAGAAAGCATATTCACACACATCCACACCCCGTCTCAGTCAACACATATTGAAAGTAAACTAACGAAATGTTTTGACAGTTATTTTTTATTAGCTGAAAAAAAGATAAATGTTTGAGAATAATATGACTTTCTTGGAACAGCTGACAAGTTAGATAATCATAGATAATAAAAGCATTTTCATCATGAGTTTCATTATGACTGATTTTTATTTATCTGTTACGATTCAATAAACTGATCAAAACATCACTATTCTTTCTGGATACGCAAAGAAAGAAAAACAAATTAAATTACTAGGCGTAGGCATCTACAGCTTGTATTTTATGTAAAGATGGCCTCAAGAATAGAAATTTAGAAAATACTTGTTCGAAAGACAGCTTACAAGAAAAGTAATTTTTTGTGAACTTTGGCATTTTTTCATGATTCTCAATAATTAAAATGAAAGCTGTTAGCGTAGTCTCTGCGCAATAAAAATATGAAACATGATGAAGCCGTTGGTATTGTGAAAAAGAGCATTACTTAATATATGTTTCAGTTTATAAAGTCTTATCTACTGCTAATGTATGCCGATGATGAAAGATATTAATCACAATATATTGCCGTAAGTATAAAACAAAAAAGTAAAGTACAATTGTCATTCTAATCATGTGTGAGGTAAGTTCACAGGAATTGTGGCTAGGAGGTGGATCACATTTTTTCCATTTCGTTTCGATGAGACTTTTGCTCGCGTACAAGTTAAGATGACACTAATTATTTAGATTTATCTTTGTACTTGATAATTTTTTGTACAGTGAAAAAAGAAAAGAAGAATATGGATACTCAACCGAAAACTTCATTAACTACATTCGTGAAATATAATCGATATGATGATTTGAAATATTCATCAATAATATTTTCGACATCTATTTGTTGAACAATGTTCGTATGAATACTGATAGTAGCGAAATCACGAAGTCTTTCATCATCAATCCTACTGCGTAAATAATTTGTCATTAGCAAATTGATCGAGACACTAGGTTCTTTTTTTCCATGAAAATAAAACACAATATTAACAATAAACTTCTTTATCCATTTGTCAAGTGTGTCAGTCAATAATATGTAGCTAGTCATAAATGTTGACACATTGATCGATTTTTTTGATGTCGTTCGACTTTTACAAGAATATAATTTGCTAGTAGAATTCATAGTTTCGTTAACAATCGACTTTATGATGAAAAATCTTTCATAGCTAGTTGATTTGAAACATTTAATTCAATATCATCATCTGATTAAAAGAGAATGAAGAAATAGTAGCCGGAACTTATTTACTATTATCGATTTCCGACTCGTTGTTGTTATCGGAATTATAGAAATTATCTGATGTTAATTGTTATGGGATATTTTTATCTATATTACCCTTAGGTCTCTTGTTCGATAAGCTGTATGAATTAATATCTTTCTGTCTTTTATTCATTATTTTTATAAATGTTTGCTGAAAAAAATGTTATGTGGATACTAATATATGTGAATCATAAAGTACTAAAATATACTTGTGATCATATACATCATATATATGTTTGCCATAAATTATACCGAATAAATTATCGGCATAAATACATAATTCGAATTAACTATTTGACGCTAATGTTGGTACAAACGCCAACATTATAAATTGATAGAGCAGTTTTTTTTGAGAAAGAAGAGGTGATCAGTACCTTTCTATGAAAGGTCTTATCTCACAGTGGACTTTTATCTCGAGTTTATTTGTTGTCATGTTCGCTGTGGGCTCTTTAATAATATCTGTCAAATCTGTGATAAGCCGCCGCTAACGTCTCTTCACGTCTGTGGCGAGGTCCAATTCTCTACGTCTATACTTCATTACTTAGTTTAGATTGTGTTTTACAAAAAAACAAGCAAGAAAAGTTCGTCGTTCCTCGTTTTGAACAAGTAATTTTATATGATGACAACTATGAATACAGCTAAGAATAGATAATGAATCGCGATGATAATCAAACTAAAGTGTTCTTTAGAAACATGTTGCTACGCATTACTACAATTATCTTCATCTCGCTTTTAAAACAGCTAAGTCAAAATGTAATAATTCTTTCTATATTAAATTGGAAAAAGAAGAAAAATTCACATACAGAACATCCTTGTATCACATTTCTAATTTCGATTTCATATTTGAATGCTATCTAATTTTGTAATACTTGTTCAAATAATTATGTCTATTTTTACAATGCAAAACTCATTCGATGTATAACAATACTATATAAATCCATAAGTACATATATGTAATAGGTCATATAGCCAACTGTCCTTGTCTATATGTTTACTGTTTTATCCTTCATTGAAATTTGATTTCGTTGTATCTATATGGCTAAGTACATTGGAAAAAAGATAATATTTTTAGTAAATTAGAAAATGAATACATTCAATACAATTAGAATACATATTTATCATCGAAATTGTCTTCGATTGTATCGACAATATTAATGATAAACTATATAATAATTCCTTGAAATTATTGATTATCTGAATACATGTAATACATATTTATGTTTTTTATGTGTAATACTATTTAAAACCATTGAATACATAATAATCTAACACATGACAAGAAAGAACGAATTATTCGTATAAGTCAGTAATTGAACTAGCATTCAATTAAGAAAAAAAAGTTGATTAACGTTTTTTTTTACTTCCATGTAGCAAGTTGCAATTCTTCAATATGATTTAGCTTAAGTCTTTCATGTTTTTCTTTCATCAGTATGATCTGGATGTCTATTTTCAGACCATACCAACATAACTACGTAATATTACACAAGAGTATAATGGAACTATTATTTTCTGCAAAAATATTATTCGAACTAGACAAATAATTATGAACATTGTTCAACAATATGTTCGAATAATAGTTTGTTTCATCATACAAAAAAAAGATCTATTATTGTCATAATAACCATTAATTTTTATTCTGCACTTAGAAAATTATAAGTTATTATAATAATTACTGACAAAACAATGTTTAAGATATTATCAAACTTTGTTTTTGGCATATCTCTAGAACAAAGCTATGCCAAAAATATGTCGATTATATATAATCTAGAAAGTTCGACAATATTGGATAGCTTAACGTCAAAAATAATCCGATCGTTAGTTTAGTTCATTTGAAAAAAAATGAGTCAACAAGCAACGTCTGGCATTTTATATCAAGCATACAGACATCTCGTTAATAGATTGTAATAGCTTATTTGTATACTTGTTTACAGATTGCGTCGAACATAGACACATCTGTTGTATGGTTATTATCTATTTACTTTAACAAAATAGTTTAGTGTCCTACCTGAATTATGTTTGTCGTAGAACATGCAGAAAACTATTTTCATAGAAAAAAGAACAAAAATATAAAACCATCGATCATTTCTATGCACATCAATTTATATCAATATATGTTAAATCTCGTCATCCATTTTCTATCCAAGATAATTTCATTAAAAGAAGATACATTTGTGTTTTCTTTCTTTTTCTTTTTTAAACAAAAAAAAATCGACCATCAAATACAACAATTACACTCGAAAAATAAAAGGAAACTCAATATTCACTTTCTATTTATAATACAACAGCATATTTTTAAAAACATAGACACAAACAATAAACATTTGAAAGAAGAAGAAGAAGAAAAAAAAAATACTCATAAATTTTGCTTGTTTTTTTCAAATAATATCTCTCACCAGGCGAATAAATTGGGATGCGTTTTTCTACATAAATAATTAGCAAATGGTAGATGCAGGTACTAGCAATTTGTTACACGTGCATTATCTGTAAATACACAACACAGCAAATGAATAAATAATTAAATGAAAATAAAGTAAAAAGAAAAAAAAAAGAAATTAATGTACATGCAACAATATATTATTCCTTTTTACTCGGTTTCAAAAGAAAACCTCTCGATGAACTGTCAAGTGATTTATGACGATTTGGAAGTTGATTTTTATCAACAGTAGGCGTCAGATGTCCCATTGAATATCGTTTACCTGTTGATGGTGATCCTTGCCTATTTCCGGATGGTAAAGTTGGTCTTAATGTTGAACTTATTTCTGTTTCTGTTCGACTTGCATGACGTGATATTTTAGGTGATGTTTGAATATCTAATTCTGATGAACCTTGACTATTGAGCGATATTTGTTTATTGAGCGTTTGTTGCCGTTGTTGTAAGTAATTAGCTACGGCCAATTTGCGTGTTTCAGCTGCTATTTTCAATGTTTCATAAACAGGATCAACAATAGCTTCATCCAAGACTTTTCATAATTAAATATTCATTAGAAAAAAAACAACAACAAGATTTAATCAATATATTTTTACCTTGTTCAGACTCATTATTATTATGCTTTTTCTTTCCTAATGAAAATCGCCGTGCAAATGACTAAAAAAAGAAAACACAGTAATAATTATATGAGACAAATACTAGCATGCGAGAGTTTTATTCCGGTTATGACACGCAACTAACTAAATCACAAGAGATTCTTTGTTTTCATATGCATATATACTCATCAATTAGATAAATGCACTACCTCAACCATTTGTGATATAACACTCGAACGTTTTTGTTTTAAAATATTTGAATTAGATTTATCATTGAAAACTGAATAACGACCCATTCTCATACGTTGTTGTCGATTTGGTGACATATGTTGTTGTTCAAATGAAAATACTGTAAAACGTCTTTGAAACCATGTTGTAGACGGACGTCTAGGCGGTGGAGTATTTGTTCGTTTAAGTTCATTATTTTCCGTTGATAATTCTAGATGTGTTATTGTTGTTGAAGTTGCATCAGCAGCTGATTTACGTCGAGCATAATCTTGTTTTGAATGTCGAGGTTTTAATGAGTGTGACCGAATACGACTTGATGAAAGTGTTTGAATATTTAGACGTTGTTGTTCATTTGTTGTTAGTGAGTTATTCATCATAGCCATCTTTTACTTAACAAAAAGTCACTTGTGATGTGCGTGTGATCAAGCGTAAAAAGCAAAAATACTTATTCGTTATAACGAGAAAAAAAAGAAAAAAAAGAGAGCAAAAGAAAATAAGAAACTATATATTTGAATGAAAGATGCCAACAGGAAACAATCTGAACGGCGGCGACAAGAGACACAATTTTGCTACACACAGTTTGCAAGTTGATATATGCGAATGAGGATGAAAAATGAAGAGAGGGAAGAGAAAAGAACGAGAGTGAAAATGGGAATAACATGACAGACAAAACAAAGATTACCATGTTTTCATTAAAAAAACAATGTCTAATGATTTTCTGAAAATGAAGATTGACAGCAAACTGATAGTAAATATGCCGAGTGATGATGAATACTCATTGGTTTAATTACTAAATAGGTGAAAAAACACTATTATCTTTTCTTTTTTTTTTTCATTTGAAGAGAGAAGAAAGAAAAAGAAGAAGAAAATCTTTATTGTTTGCTATTATAACTGATGTATACGCACGTTTACTCTTAATCGAGTCTTGTCTATCCGGATGTGATCGAAGTTATTCGAATATCGTTATGGAAATTTTATTTTTATATATCTCTCTTTTCTTTTTTTTTCTTTACATGTATGTCTCGTTTGAATTACTCGATTAGATCGATTATTAATACATCGAACGTGAATCAAGTGTGCATATATGATTGATCTATGAGGCTTTCTATAACATACCAGATGAGTTTCATCAACACCATGGCCACTTGAGGATGTTGTGGACTTTTTTAATGCTCGAAATGTCTCACGCCAAAGTCCTTTCATAGTTTTTAGATTGCGCTTTTGCGCATCTTGTTCACTGTCGCCAATACTACTCATCGAATGTCGATGAGATTTAAGCAATTCTTGCTAAAATAGAGATAAATATAATATTAAAAAATTATTATTATTCAAAGAAAAGATAATGATCAGCATACACGACAACAACATTGACAAATCGGCATTATTTTATACGAAATGATAATGTCTCTTTTTTTATTTCTATATACGTTTCAAATCGTTAACTACAATCTGTTCTTTTATTGAAAACTATATTCAGTCCTTTCTGTTTGTATCATTAACGCTTGCGCATATATCATACAAAGCTACACGACAGAAGTTGTAAAACAAAAATAGAACAAACGAATTATTTTTAAAGGGCACAAATATAAAAACAGACGAAAATAATCTACGTCTTTGTTTAGTCCACCGAAAACAAACAATTTTTTTTTACGTTACCTTAAGCGAAATAACTTATCGAGACCATGAATATCTATGATAAGTATCACCTTTTGAACATAGCGACAAAGTAAAACATATACGCAAGAGAGTAATTAATCAGAAAGACATCTCCCTTTAGTCCCCTCTCCCCAAAGGAATATTAGTTTTTTCCTTCATTATAATTTCTTATTCTTTGTACGTATAGGAAAAACCAATCAAATCATTAATGTTTCCGTGTCACACTTTATGCTAATTGTAAAATGAGTGTTTTGAGAACATACAAGAGATAGGATACAGGAAGTATCAAAACTAAGTCAATTTATATCTTACCCTTATTATTCTGCCTTTAGTATAGTACACGAGCACATTTATATAGTCTTCCGAAACCATCAGGTTTATGATAAATGTTTGGAGTTCTTCAAATAAACGGTATCATTTTTCTTTTCGATGAAAACATATAGCCTACGTTCGAGTCATCATGATTTGTTATCGTGCTGTGACTCCACCCTACAAACAGAACCTATCTCGAAGAAAACAACAGTTATTTACATTACTCGTTCTAAGCATATCTTCAAAATATATGAGATCATTTTTTCAAGTTAACCGCATTTTTCTTTCACTTAATGTAAAACTTACGATACGAAGCTTAATAACAATCCTTGAATAACATAAGTTTTTTTGTTTTTGCTAGTAAAAGTCAATTGTCAAAAACAAATCGGTAAAGTCGTTGTCGTCTATAGTTTGGTTATTATTCTTCTAACATATACACACATATTTGTATTATGAGATGATGTCAAAGAATTATGCATAGGGCATATTGTTGTAAGTCAACAAGAAGAAAAAAATGGTGAATGTGTTAATAGAGAACAACAAGAACAGCGATGATAGAGCCAACAGATGAGAAGAAACTGCCGATTAATCAATCTGATGGATTCTTCAAGCGTCTTTTTTGTCCTTATTGCTTCTATAAATATATATATATATATATGTATGTGGGCATGCGTTGTTATCGCTTGTTGCGCTCGATCGCATTATATCGATCTATATCTAGCACTCGAATACTCGCTCATTTAGTGCTTTAACATTCGACGCGACATTTGACAAAAGCATCTTACTATACATATACATATGACAGATGGATTATTGCACAAAGAGAAAGAAAAGAAAATCCGATAATTTGTTGTTTCTCTTGTATTCTTTAATAGACTACGGTCGATTTCATGGTACTACCCATTACTGGATATATGTGCGCATATAGAATAGGCATAAAAGCAGGTTTCAATAGATGATTGTTTTTACGAGATAATAATCTAATTGATACGACGACAAACATTTTTTATGATGAAAATGACGTTTTTAAGCAAATTTTGATATTATATCTTATCTGTCAAAGTGGCCATTGCCATTTTGTAGAAAGATACTGATAGAAGAAAAAATATCATTGCTGTAAACAAATGTCATGGATTTTTGTTTTTGTGCTTTTTATTTATTCAATTATTCATTTTTTTTGACATTGTTTGTCGAGCGAAAGCTTTAAAAAAGCATAAAAATGTTTACCTGTGCTAATAATACAGATTCTTCAAGTTCCATTAAACGTAATTGATGTTTCTTTTTCATGAAACCTTGCATTTGATTGAGCATGATTTTCTCGGACCTAAAATTATATCTATAAAACTGCATAACTATGATAGAAAACGTTTTGCTATATTTAGTTTGATCTTTTTCTTATGTATTTATAGCCTTTTGTCTTTTCTAAATGCGAAAATAATAGATATTTGATGTATTGAGAAAAAAATTTATTCTTAATTATAGTTGGTTTGATATTATAGGTCAAGAAAATAATTAGGAACATTCGGTTTATTGATATCGAACGAAAAATAAAAGAAATTATAACACTTGTTATTTTTTATTAACTTACTGTTGTTGATCTTCATGTTGTTGATGATGTTTGATTGGTGCTTTATTAACAGCAGCTAATAATGCTGATTTCTCCTTTTTAACTTCTTTCAAACGTTCAGCTGTTTCTCTGCAACATGCCGATAATTGTGATTGAATAACTGGTGCTGCATAGACAATTAATTGTTCACTATTATGTGGTGATAAATGTTGTAAACGAGAATCATATGTAGTTAGTTTATTAAATGGAGAATGAAATGTTTCAAATTCAATATTAATTTTTGGTGTTGATCGCTCATTACTTGATTCATTTATTGAACATATATAATTTTCTAATTCTTCATTTGGATCTGTTGTTGTACTTGTGACAACAAATGATGCCAAACTACGATGACGTTGTTCATGCTAGAAAATAGAAAAGTATTATTTGTGATAAACAAACAAACGACAAAAAATATATTTTTTTCTTTTAATTCATTCCATAACATTGTAAATATTGAACGATATTGCAAATGATAATAATAGTAACAAAAAAAAATCTGCATAATTTGATATCTACTATGCTAAAAAAAATTCTCGATGACTAATATTTTCGTCTAGATAAATAAACAAGTGTTGACAGGTTCTATCAATGAATGAAAAAACACAAATGGATCTTGTTTAACGTATTATGTATTGTATTCAACAGTATGGTTGAGTAGAAATCTAACGGTGTTTATTTTTGATTGACATTATTGTTAAGTGATATCAGTTGTTTTCTCAAGTTAATTTATATTTAACCCACATATAGAAAAATAAATAAATATAAGATAATATTATCTCACCAATACTCTGCATGCATCAGACTTCGTAGTGTCACTTAAATAAATATAAGAATTTGAACGCAAGATTCATATAGAATTCCACTGCCTATATAGGAAATATATACGGTATGAGTTTTTCCAACGAGAAATTTGTATAAATCTAAATGTTGAAAAAACAAAGAAAATCCATTCTATTACAAATGAATCATGTCAACGTAAATGAAGGACGAAGTAACATATATGTCACATCGAAGTTAGCATTTCCATACTAAAATTTGTCAAAATTATTTTCAGATCGATCTGATCATAAAATAGCAATAAATTAATTGATGATTTTCTAATTGAAATTCGTTTTTCATTTCGATAACGTACATAAACTTTCCTATGTTTAAATAAAAATATCACACGTTATATTCAGAAATATTGCAAACTCAAGTCGAATAGCATTTTCTTTACAGTTGTAATTAAATTAAGGTGATATTAGTAAATGAAATTGGAACAAACGACATATTTATGAGATTGGGATTAAAGTCAAGTGATTCAGTGATTTGACTGACTTGATTTATTAAGGTTTATTGTAGTTTAGAATGATTCATATATGAATTCTGTATAATTTAGAGCGATAAAATAAATTCATGAGCTTTCATCACAAGCTGATTTAATCTTCTTGGAAAAAAGTCAGTATTCGTCAGAATTCTCGAAATTAAGATAAATATATCGAAAGATATACTGCCGTCTAATCTGTCATAAATAACAGAATTTTTTATTCACCACTTCTTTTTTTTGATGATTTCTGTCATCATCTTCTTGAAAAATATGCTATTTTTAAAAAACAAGCAGCAAATCCTTTTGGTTTTTTCTGTCGTTATTCTTTTTCTGATTGTGAGTCTCTAAATTCAAAAATGAGCATCGTTGTAATTAATTACTCTTTTTTTTTCGTTTGAAACAACATATCAAGATGCAACGCATGACAATGTTCCATTTTTTTAATTATGCTTTGTTACTATTTTAGAACAAAGTATTTTTATAATTAGAGCACCATTTTTTTGAGAGTCTCTCGAAGCATGAAAATTTTCTTTACTTGAAAAGTAAGAGTTTAAAATAAAAGATTCTGACATGCTCTTTCAAACAAAAAAAAAACAAAATTAATTATATACAATGAAGGCCCACAGATGCCAAATAAACTATTTTTGATTCTTGTTTATTGAATATCTTCTGAAAATATCATGATATAGAGTTGAGAATTTTTTCATCACCTCGTCAATACAGCTTCAATATATATCAGAAAAATTTTATATGATTTGCATGTGCCCGAACCAAGATCATTTTTTGAGGGTGCAAACCTTCAGATAATGCGATGCACAAGTGCGAAGCCAAAAAATAGTAACTGGTGACTTGAAAAGGAAAAGCAATTATCAAAACTAACATATCTCTGTTCCGTACATTTATTTCGACCTTTACAGTTATTTATCGTTTCTATCATATACACTATTAACTCAATGCAGAGAACAATCATAGACCAAACATTGTAATAAACACTCGATACCCTCTATTTGATATTAGTATACATGCCAAGAATTGAAATCAAATGACAACCTCTGAAAGAAATAATCGCATGGAAATCGATGGATTAGGTGCTTTAACTTTTTTTTTTTTGGTACCACGAATGTTCCTTAGATAAGCTTGAATTAAACTAATGAGTCAAACTATTCTAAAGCATTTTGTCAATCGATGTTATGCACTGATATCGTCAAAAGTTCGATAGCAAATTTTGAGAAAGTCTTATTCAATTGGAGTTCGTAGAAAAAATTTACGTACATTTTCGAAATAATTTCAATGCGATCTACATTCTGCGACTTCCATCGTCTAACTGTATTATAAACGTCAATAGAAATATTTACAACAATACACAAGTTACAATTTTCTAAGATCTATAATTATTTTCATTGATAGTCAATCGATTTCTCCTTGTAGTTTTTCTTGAATTTCTATTAACATAATACGTCATTTAATTTTGAACATAATACGTATAACATAGACGGCAAATAAACCGAGCCCAAACTAATTGTTTTTCAAAAAGATAGTCGAGCGGAGTCAAGTCTCAAATGAACAAAAATAATTGGTTGAACAGTAATCGGTTTCATGAAAGTGTAATGCGATCGACGAAGATAAAATGAGCTTCTGATCGATCGTCTGACATCTTCAATTTAATATTCATCTAATACCATCTTTTTTTTTCACTTCAAAATAGTTACACTAATTGTGTTTATGACTATAGATGCTATATAATTCTTCTTTTATATTTGTTCCTCTTTCTGTATCTCAATGAATAATCGTCTGTATCCTGGTGAGATTATATGTAGCAACACAAAAAAAAAAAAGACTACTGATAGCTACATATTAATATGAAAAATTTTATTTTAATTCACAAGTGTATTAAACAGTATTAATTTACACCAATATTAATTCTAGCATTACATTCTAACCATTTGAGAAGAAAGTTCTAACCTATCGTTTACTCTTGATTAGAAAGAACAACAGGTACTCGAATCAAACCGTCGAAATCTGGTTCGATTTGGTCGCTGATATATAGCAAGAAAGTATGAAAGGTTCTCTATCTTACGATGCAATCACATTAAACAACGAATAAAATTTAAAGCTCAAAAGTTGTATCAGAAGTTTTTTCTAAAATGTTGTGTGAGTTAAGCGAACTTCTTCTCTTATTTGTTATGTTTGTATTCGTATTGACATTCGTTTGTTCACAGTTTAGAATTATACAAAACTTTATTTTCAAATATTACTGGTATAATAAAATACGATGAAGACTATTTTGTCGATGGAAAGTTGAAAAAAAGATTCGATTTCAAATCATTTGATATTTCTTTGTCATCTATACTGACTGTACCTAAAAGAACATCTAGATTATATTTTATTATGGTTGATGTATTTATGTCTTTTTATTTTTTCTTATATATTTATTTATCGACATTAACATTCTTTTCATAAATACATTTGTATGCTTTGCCTGAAGAAAGAATCAATTGATAAGAATACTTTCAACATGTTCTATGCCAGGTTAATGTGTACTTCAATCAGGAACAACAAGCTTTTCATTACTTTTATTATCAACATTACTTTTATTTGGAACATAAGAAATCAGTAGTGCATATCATAAAAACTAGTATAGCATGCAAACTATATGAACATTATGATTGACATTAATGTTAAATGTATAAATTACCTTTACAAGGCTTTAGATGTGATTATACATCATAAAAAAAAGACAAGTTTGCTTTCTTTTTCGTACCACTTTAAGTTATATTCTTAATTCAAGACGAACCTATCATCAGATATAGTACATTTCGTCTATAGTCGCAATTTATCATATGTTTAAAAATAAACGAGACATGCTAATAAAAACAAAAAGAGTAAAGAAAATAATCGATTGGCCTTCTGCTGTAAGAATTATACGAGAAAATATCTAAAAAATAGAAAGCTATAGAACAGACTTTAAAATTCTGGAAAACATAGAACGACCACAAAACAACTGTTTATTCATTATTAATAACTCAAATAAGAAAGCGCAAGCAAAAAACTATTGTGTATTTGTATTGATAATAACACATATGTAACAGCTGTTTTCAATTCTATTATTCTCACGAGTCCTGATATATAAGAATCAACATTTGTACAGCTGCGATAATAACCTAAAGTAAACAATCACACAGTATGATTTTACAAGATCGTAAATTTGACCTTGTAAGCTCAGACAAAACTCGTACAAAAAAAAAACTTCGCATCATAAGATTCTTGAAGAATTGTGCTGCCTTGTAAGATGTCATTATAAGATTATAGGAAATCTTATGTGATGTCAAGATCTTTGAAGAATCTTAGAGCACGATTTCATCTAATCTTGCAAGGTCTGGTGGATCATTTCTCTTGCCTAGATATCTATAATTATGTTTAAAAATATATCATGAAACATATATGTATATTAAGATTTAAATTTTTACCAATTTTGTTTTTCAAAAATCTGTTTTAAAATATAATTATTTTTTATGCAGTTCATACGACTTACTCGATGTTTTCAAAAATTTCTTGAATTTTTATTTAGCATATTTATAGTAAACCCCCCTCAGAATAAAAAGGCATGGCCTTCTATTATGTCCCAGTGAATCGGTCTTTTTTGGGTGGCGTTCTATTATGTCTTGTCGGAATTTTTTTCACATTTTTCCTTGAAATTGGTATGGCGTTATATTATGTCCAGAGAATCAAACGGTCCGGGGTGGCCTTCTATTCCGGGTGCCTTTCTATTATAGGGTGGCGTTCAATTTTGTGGGGGTTTATATTAGTAACTAAAATGTTTGATAAATGACGTTTAAAGCTCAAAATTGAATAAAATAGGTTAACTGTCGATTGTTCTTAGAGCGCTACTATATTACTGTGATAAGAATTTCATGTTCATTTAAAAGTATCTTTGCTGAATCTAATTTTCGCTTTAATTATTATATTAAGCTTTCTATTTCCTGTCATTTTTGTACAATTCTCTAATATAAAGACAACATGTGTTATTTTTTTTCCCCTATTATCTATGTATTTCTGAATATAATAAGTCTGAAATCCTCAAAAATAGACATGTTAAATTCATTACACTTTTTATTTTTTCTTTTGATCTAGCGAATCCAATTCAATAAGAATATGCTAATGAAACTATGTTAATCAACCAAATATTATTAAAAATAGTCACTTTACAAAGCTCAATATGCATGTATAATAAAATTTTATTATTTCATTTGTTTCACTTACATAATTTTGTATGAGAGAAGCAATCAATTGTAAATTTTGACAAACTGTATCAATAACATCAATCTGTGATTGTTCCATTCCCTAGTTTCAAAAAAATCTGTACTTATCAAATTCTTTTATAAATATAATTTTTTACTTGAAGAAGTTGTGGTAAAACATGATATTGATATTTTGATAAAAGACCATTAACACCAACTAATTCAATAATATATTGATTATGTGCACAATGAAATTCAGGTGTTACACCCGTATCACTATATATCTTTGCATATTCTTCTTGCAACTAAAGTAACCGGAAAAGGAATTGTCAAACTAAAGTTAATTATTCTTATCCGTTTTTCTATTTGTTTCTAATTAATTCTCACATATTGATAAATTTATCTGGTTGATGAAAGGCTACAATTATAATCGTTTGATAAAAGAAGAAAGAAAAGCAAAATAGTAAAACTGATTTGCAACTTGAATTTATTAGAAAACTGTTGATTAAATAAGGTCAAACAGTCAAGTAAGGATTTTTCTATTATATCTATATGCATTCTTTTTTTTTAATATTCTGTGCAGCACTTCAAACAGTTCTCTTGATAATACTCTTAAAAGCTTCTTTTTCTTTACTCAATATATTGATACTATTAATAAATAGTTCTTAGATCCACTATGATTTATCGAGTGTATGAACTTAATTGATTAATCAATCGAACATATTTCTTCCTTTCATTTATTTCAATTTGTATCACGTAATTTTATACGAATCAGATCAAATTATAGAACATCTACTTGTCTTTAATTAAAAATTTCTGGAAAGAAACTGACGAAATAAAAAATAAAGTTTAATAAAGCGAAATACTTTAATTATATCTAATTTTTGTTCATCAAAGTAAAAACAAAAATTTATTTCAACTTACTTCTTCAACAATATCATGACTTGTTTCTAAAATTTCATGAAGATCACAACGATGTTGTTTATTAATAGATAATTCAACACTTTTATTTGTTATAAAACTTGCTAATGGTGTACAAATTTCTTTTTCCATTAAACATGCCATTTTTTTCAAAGACTATTTAATACAAAAGAATATGAATCAACAACAATTATTTAATAAAAATATTCCTTTTTTTTCGTCTATTGACCTGTGATTCTAATTCTGATTCAAGTAATAATGATTCCCATAAATCGTACATCATACCACCTAGATGACATCTAATAAAACGTCATATCTATTGACTATTTATTAATGACAATAAAACATACTTTTCACGAATTTCAATTTCAGTTTTTTTACGAAAATCATTTACAAGTTGATGTAATTGAGATGATGCCAAAAAGCATATTTTAGCCCATTGATTTGTAAAATCCGTAACTAAATTATTATGAATTATTTAAATAAGAAAAAATAAAATCTGGTTTCATTGTATTATTAACTTAATTTAGTAAAAGTAATAGTCACTTCAGCATATTCAATCAGTTTATGCCATACTTGAGGATCAGGAAAATCAACAAAACTTAGTCGACGTCTCGTACTGTTCGCCATATGCTTTATCTAAAAATTATACAAAGAACAACGCACAAATAGACAACACTGGTTTATGAAACACAAAATGATAAACAGTGATAATTAATTGCTTAAAAGAGAAAAAAAGCTGTTGATCGAATCTGTAAAAGGTTAAAAAAGAAAAAGGCCCGTATTTATAAACATCTTGTAGAGAATCAATTCTGTGAAAACGTCGTTTTTTTTTCAAGAGAGCATAAAACATGGTAAGATCACGTTCTCAATGGAAGATATATGGAATATTTTTTTCTCCATTCGTTATTCTGTCGTCTTTTCATCTTAGATTCATTTTTTTTTTCTTCGACTAATACTTGAGCGAGCGAGCGTACATGATGATGGTGTCAATCATTTCGCTCCCGAATGCTGCCGATGTATTCAATCCACTATCACAATCTCATTTCTTTTTTCTCTCGACTAACTAACGCTTCGGTTATATCATTGTCTTTGTATGTGCGTTCATTTTTCCGCACGTACTCCTCCTCACTTTCTTTAGTTTTCCTTTTTGTTTTTACGTGACTCGATCTATTTGAATCGCGATGTTTAACTTAATCACCGTTAGTAAGGCCATATATCTTGTCAGTTCTTTTTTTGTTAGGTAGAGCAACAGCAATCATTATTAGACTATTGTTCGGATCGTGTTTTTTTAACATTGGTTTACAATACGCTAGAGGTAGTCCTCTATTTTTAACTTTAAATACATTCGTATGAATGGCGAAATCTCAATGGAGCTTTATCGAACAACAAGAAAAAAATTACACATCAGTGAACATAATCTGAGACAATATGTCGGGCAACTATGTCAATGTAAAACTATATAAAAAGAACAGATTTCTATAATAATTGGTTATTATTGATGAAGTTGATGATTATAAATGAAAGAATGAAGTAGTTCTAGTATTTTTTTTTCTTGCGTTTAAACATCAAGGACAAATTAAAGAGTACTTGTAGAATAAATTCGCTTTGATTCACATTGATAATGACGAAAAGAATACTAAAATATCGATGAATTATGTTTTTCATATTAATCAATTTTATCATATTGTAAGAATAACGTACTGTGTAGTGTTTTTCTTTGTTTAATGTCATCGATTATATCTTTCATAAATTTCAATAGATCAATCAATCAGTATGAATCATTTTGAAAGAAACACGATAAGAGGTTATTATTATTGTAGATAGCCTTTTGATGTAATCAATGTGACAAGAAAAAACAGTCTTTTTTGTACTTTTAAGTTATATGCAGTGTTTACTACAATAAGCCCATTCATTCATAAGACGTCAAATGCCATTCGTTTACAAGGACAATTATTAACTTTTTGTTTGGAATTGATCAACCGAGTTTAATGCAAATATTTAACACTTTAATTGTCATTCTCTTAAATGTTTGCTTTTGTATTTAAATAAATGCGTAAAATCATTAGAAGAATGTAGCAACAATTACCGAAACATTCTTATATAAGGTTGCTAGCTCTATTTATTTTATATAAAAAAAAAACATGTCATTTACAACACGTGAATATATATTTTTATGCTTATTGTTAACATCAAATAATCAGATTCAAATCATGTCTGATAAGGTTTTCATTTGTTTTCTAAATAAGTAATGCGTAGTTGTAATTTAATTCGAGTTATCGTGACATTTTTTTCCATTATCGAATTCGCAGTACATATTGAAAGAAAAAGACGCTGTGTAGAAATTGATATCCTTCTTCATGGACGGATTTTTTTTCTTTTTCATACAACGATTTATATCAATCCATTCTCTTTCTTTTTCTTATATAGACTGAAGAGGAATAAAGGAAAAAAAAGAGGAGGTACGTCTGTTCTGTTCACATACGCATCAGCTGTATCCTTATCGCTTTTGTACAAAAGAAAAAGGACGTTAAGATCATTCGTTGCCTGCGTGTTCTTATAAAAACTTATACACGCGATCGTGTACTTTGGCCTTATCACAAACATATAAATACATTTGTATATTCAGCGTATCATTCTCATATTTTACGTCAAGTTGAGTCGTCGTTGTGAATTATATTTAAAACAATCAAAATGGCTTCAATGAATTATTGCTTCACTATTTGTCGTGCAGCTGAAGAAAAAGTTCAACAAAAAAATCATTCGAATTCAGCATCATCAGCTATTGATGTTCCGAATCCATCATCACCTAATACCGGTGCTTATTTCTTCGGAAAGTTTTTTTCATTTGGTTTATCACCACCCGCATCAGCAATCGATAATTCATTACTTTCCAAAGCAACGAATCTTAATGATAATATTTAACTCAATTTTGTTATTTGTCTTATTATATTAACATTTGATTATATGTTATGCATCAGATAAGAGAAAAGCAGACAAAAAAAAATAATTGCATCGACTTCTATTTGAATATTTAAAACGAATGTAGCAATATGTCTGTTTTCGCTTTTTATGTATATATATCTGTAATATTAGTACTATTTTTTTTTCTCCAATTGTACAAAGGAAAAACAAAAAAACAACTACTAATAAATTTGTTATATGTCCGGATTCATTTATATTGCCTTCCTATCTTTGTTTATACATGAACTGTAGATTTGTTTTGATTAAAGGAAAAAAATGCACAAATGGTTTATATAGAAACTAATAATTCTTCTTATCATGAAATAACCGGATGAAAAGTCTGAATATGTAAACAGTTTCTTTTCTTATTGTTCTTTGTTGTTGCAGAACGGAAGTTGAAGAATGATGCTTCGTTTTCCTTCGAGTCTGATAATATATTTTAATATATTCCATGTATATAATTATTACGCTAGACATCGAATTGAATTAAATCGATACAAGTTACATATATATATAAAATAAGATAAAAAATTGCTTGATTGTTTGTTTTTATTGTCAATATAAAGAAAAAACAGAATGTGGAAAAGAACATAAACAAAAACAGCAACAACAACAACAACAACAACAACAATTACCGATTATAATGGTAAAATATTAAATCGAAATAAATTTTCATTCTATGACGAACCATTAGATTTTAAATATTTTTTTCCACAACAATTAAATACGCACACATTGCTAGGCTAGAAAGTAAGAAGAAAAAAAGGGTTAAGAAACAGATATAATGCGTATTTTCCTGTCTAAAAAGAAAAGCAAAGAAAATGAAAACATAATCATGCAAAAAATAAGTGTACAAAGGAGAAGAAAAAGAAATGTGTTGAATGCCATATTATTATTTTCTTTTAGTTGCTTTTTTTTCGAGTCTATGAATTTGATCTGTTAAATTCGATTTGTCACGTTCTAATTGTTCTATTGTATTACGCTGTTCTTCAACTTTAGCCGTTTCCGTTATTAATTGCTCAAATAATTGGTTATTAACATTTGGAACAGATTGAGAATTTATTGCTGCGTCAATTGGTTCAGAATTATTATTGCCTAAAAAAAATAAATAAATATGGCATGAAGGATACTGTCTGATAAGATAAATATCCTTCATTTGAAAAGTCATCCACACCATTTTGCAGTGGTAACTCGTGACGCATCAAATCGTAGATAGAAAATTAGTTTTTTCATCAAGTTTTAATGTTCTTAGACACCATATACCAGTTAAAGGATATTATCGTATTTGTGAGTGATTTAAGCAAATATTAGTTAAACAATACTTTAAAAAAAAGCTAATTTTTGGATTCCTAAAAATATAAAACTATTAGTTTTTTTTATACGAATATTTTTCGAGTGAAAAATTTTCTATTTATTTAATATAAGTTCATCGTGATCTATCATTTGACACATATGGATCTTTCGCAAATGACAAAAAACAAATTTTTTACTTTGACATCCCTAGAGAAGAGTGTAGGACTAAACTATTATAAAGATTAATTTATATTTTATTTTGTTGCTGACAAATTTTCGATTCTAAGCAGTCGGTTATGATTAAATTATGGAGTTCTATTTGATTCAATAAATGTACTGTATCCTATGCGAATTAAAATTTTTGTATCCCCCTGTAGGCTCCTTCAAGAGTCCGAAAGTGAAATATTTTTTGCCATTTTCGAAAGATTCATATATGTCAAATGATTGAGCATGATGAACTTATTATTGATTGATCGAAAATTTTTCACTCAAAACTATTTATCACATGACTCATATACTTTTCTGTGTTGAGGAATCGAAAAATAGCTTTTTTTTTACGTATTGTTTGGAAATATTACTTAACTAGTATATAGCTTCTCAGAATATTAAAACTTAATGAAAAAAACAATTTCTTAGATACGATTCGATGCGTCACGAATTGTTTTACAAAGGAGTATAGATGACTTTTCAAATGAAGAATGATTATTTTATCCAATAATCTTTTAATTTGATATTTATTTATGAACCTGTATTTGATGTTTGTTCTGAAAGATTTTGTAAAAGTAAATTTTCTATTGGATTATCATTTGTTGTTGATTGTAAAAGTGGTGAAAGTAAACCATTATCTGCACCAAATAAATCTTCAATTGATGTACCTTCAGGTAAATTATCAAACATTAATTCGCGAATATTATCAAGTGACGATTGAATATGATCAACATCACCTGTTATATCATCTAACGAAAAGTTAATTTGTTCTGCGGGTGGATGTATTTTATATTGCTGTTGGTTTTGAGTATATAATGTTGAATTTAATGTTGGAGACGTTTTAAGATCATCTATTAGATTATGTTGACTTGGTTCAAATGTATTTGGATATTCAATTTGCTCTTCTTTTAATAATGTTGGAATTGAAATTTTTTTTACTGAGTTGTCATGATACTAAAATTTAAAAAAATGAAATTTCTTTTCTGTTTTCTTTTTTTTGGTAAAAATCATATAGTAATAGCTGTAGAAGACTAAAAATATTTATTCATGAACGTTTGGCAAATCAAAGACTCAAGAAAGATGTCTGGACTAGTTTTCAGGCGCATGAAACAAACAAGAAATTGAGATTTACATTCAAAAGAATCAGACAAATAATCTTTTGAAAAATTTCGATTTAATTCATTCAGAGAAAAGTCATCATTCTCCTATCTAATAATGAATTTACGAGGAAAGTCTTGCAATTGAATCATTCCTTTTGAGTTAGGGCTGCGTCCAATACGTAGACTCAAATGAACTATGCATATTCTCAAAAGAGTTCGGACTCTTAGCTTATTGCTGTTGCGTAGGTCCTACTTTTTTATGATATTTTGTAAACGAATGCTGTAGGCGTCGCCTTCAGGAAAATTGATTTTTAAATTTCGACTTCAAGCTTTGTACAAAGACTGATCATATTGAGAATACCTTATTGTAAAAATCTCGTGATCTTTGATTTACTTTTATTCTGAAATAAGAGCATCGAATTGCCCATTAAAACAAAAATTATCCTCAAGCGGAGATAAATTCTTTCCAAAGTCTCCTTTCTATCAAAATCAAGAAAAATTTAGATAGTTTTTTTACCTGCGTTGTTGAGGAAACCAGAAGAGAAATGAATGTACTTAGCATAGAAAAAAGCTGTATTAAAAATCGAATCTTTGTTAATTATTAATTAACACAAACAGTTTTCACTCCAAAAAATACTCAATTACAAAATAACATAAACAAGCAGTTTCTATATCTTATCAATAAATAAATCGTAGTCTCTGTGTGAAAAGCATATGTACTTACTGCTACAAATAAAAGATTTCTTTATTCGAATTCCTAAATGAAAATAATTTTCCTACATCTAATTCTTTTCTAAATTTTCCCGAACGTATGTTGGTACACACTATTGGATTCAGCATCTCTAGCTATATCTTAGAATAGAAACAACTACAAGAGATTACACATTCACCAGAAACGATTCTCATTAATGAGCGAATGTTTTCAACTAATCAATCGTTTTTGACTTTGAACACTATGCATTAGATGAACTCCAGGAAGATATGAAACAACTCAAAAGAATGAGTCTCTTCACGTATTCTGTCGGGAGCTACGAGTATTTTACTAAAAACTTAACCTCAGGCATGGCGTGTACTAACAAATCAAATGACGAGATTTCGATCTGAGATTTTGCTCGTAAGCAAATCTATTTGTCAGTACAATCTTTTTCGATATATTAAGGATCCAGAAAACTACCGTAAAAAGACTGTATCTCTTTCAACAATAAGCTCAAAGTCCTACCTCTTTTCAGAATATTTATAGCTCACTTAGAACAACATAATGCACATGGTCTTGACTTAAAAGCGATTATTTAGTTGAAGGACTTTCCACGTTAATCTTGATGTTCCTTATAAAAACTAAAACAAGTATGTATACTCTTTTAATATCTATCTAATTGAAATATCTATTTATTGTCATAAAAAATATATTACTATACATCTTAAAAGTCGAATGAATATTATATGAAAGTTATATAACATTTGACATTCAATTATTACCGTTTTGATGCCTCTTAAATTCGTTCCTTGTGAATGTCCAATATTTCTATGTTTTTCATTAGTATTATCTGTACGGAAGAAAAAATCTGGTACACATGTATTTGGTACATTATCTTTCTTGGCGGCTGTTGGAAAAGTTATATTTTGTTGTGCGGGATTTCTTGGATCATGTACAGGAGGATTTAGAAATTGATTTGCCGAATTGGGCCATTGATAGTCATTTTGGTGTTGCTGTTGTTGATGATGATGATGATCTTCTGCACTTTGTGCTGATGGCGGTGGTGATGGGACAAGATCAACTAATGGTGATGCACTTGTTGTTTGAGTCCATCCACCTGTGTCATTATCTGTTAATTCATTGATTGTTACACTTTGTTGTCGACGAAAATTATTTAAATGTGAAAATTGTTGATGGTGTTGTTGTTGTTGTTGTTGTTGCATAGTTGTTCGTTTATTTGGTTCTTCATTAGGCATAAGTGCAGCTTGTTTACGTTTCAATGTATTCGGTGATAAACGATGTTCACTTGATATTAATGGAGAACTATTTATATGGTCTGAAGTATCTGTTTGTTCTGGTTGAAGTGAATGAGGGGTTAGAACTTCATTTGGTGTTTGTTGTTCACCTAATTGTTCATTAGATTGTGCTGAATTTGCTGTAATGAAATGTAAAAGAAATTCCATTAATTTTGAAACAACCTGTTGTTGTTTAGCATGTTTCTGTCTTAATGAACCAATTTCACCCCATAATGCTTCATTTTCAGTTTGCAGATATGATAATTTATCACTTAATGATGTTTGTTTGGTTTGTAAATTTCGTACATCGTCAAGTAAATGCCTTAATTCTATAGAACGATTGGATTTTGAGTCAAGACAATTTGCTGAAATAAGTGCAGATGACTGATGAGAACCTTAAATAATCAAAAGAAAATATTATTGTTTTTTCTTATGAATACACTCATTTGTTAACAACAAGAAAAAGTCTTATTAATACCTCCTTGTATATTAGATTTTTGTTGACCATCTGGTGCACGTCTTTTGATTAATTCTAAAAGTGAATCTTGTCCTCTAATAAAATATGGATGTGCAAATTCAATATCATCTCTTTCATTTTTTAATGAACCATGTTCAATAGTTGACATTTTACGAAAACCATACATATTTAATTGACGTATGAAAGATGCGAAATTGTTATGTTTGAAATATCTTGGTAAAATTTCACGTGAAAAACGTGATTGATCATAAACATGAAATGATCCACCAGATGGATCCCAAGCAATAAGATCATCACATGATGAATCATTAACAAGTGCCCATAATTTAGCTAAAAATGCTGTTATAGAATTTTGAGATGATTGACTTGAGTGTTGTATGTAGTCTCCAGAATTACCATCACCTATATTCTTTGAATTCATATCTATAAAAAGAAAAAAAAGTAAGTATAAATTTCCTTAAATAATATCTACGTAAATTCATCTTTTTGTTAAGTAGTGGAAATTCAAAAGTAAAAAAATTTTTTGGATATATAGTTAGATAGAGCACAAAAATTTGATCAAGAATGTGTGCATTTTCCAGCTTTCAAGAGAAAGTTTTCAGTTTTCTCAGATTACTTGTTTTTTCCTAAAAAAAAACAGTCAATTTTCGATTATTATCAAATCTTCAGTTTTTTCATTTCCTTCAAATTTTGAAACTGTTTGTTTAGGATTGAGTATGACTCATTTACAAATGACTTTCTTAGATTCAATCTTTCACGCTAGATCCAAAATATTAAAAACACACATATTCTTCATCAAGTTGTCACGCTGTATCTAATCATAAATAAAAAAAACTTCTACTTTAATTTTGTACGACCAGCGCCTTACTTCGCGCCAATAAAACTTAATCACAATCTCTTATCAAAATTCATCGGTGTATTTATTCACATAAAACGTGTTAATCAATCTTAATGATGAAAATAATCATTATTAGTGTTCTATGTAATATTATAAGTATAAATTGTATTAATGTGAATTATCTTGCTCAAAGATGTTATATATGTGAAAAAGAAGCTTGTGAACATCCAACTACACAAGATATTAAAGCTTGTTCTAATGATCAAAATGAAGGAACTAGTGGAAAAGAATTTGTTAATGGTGCTTTAGGAGGAACAAATGCGAATGAAATTTATGGTGAACTTGCACAAGGTTTAAATAATTTTGGTATAAATCAAATTGGTTTAAATGCATCAGCTATGCCGTCATGGAATAGTCTTACGCGATGGGTAAATATCTTATAAATTTTTTTATAATAATAATCAAAAACACAATAATAATTTTAGGTATGTTATATATCCAAAGATAAACATCGTGGTTGTTTAATGATGGGCAAAGGTCTTTGTTCTGAAGATAAAAGTTGGTTAGGAAAAATAATTGATATTGGAAAAAAATTAACTAATATTATGAAAAAAGCAAAAGATGCTGTAAATAAAATGTTTAGAGATATAAATATTCCAGGAAAGTTAAATGATACTCAAAAATTTGTAAGATATTTTAGATTTTTTTTTAACTAAGAATATTTCTTAAATATTACGCAGTTCTTTTTAGAATATTACGAATTGGTTTGCAGAGAATTATATGAGTAAATTAGTTAATAGTTCAAATGAGCCTCAATATCAACTTGATACATGTTGTGAAGGTGAGATTAAAAATGAACTTAAATTTTAAAAGAAAAAAAAAAAAATGTTATTTTTCTTAGGCCATTCATGTAATTTTGCTTCAATGATACAAATATCAATATTCATGTTGACATTTTCCGTTTTAATACTCATCTAAATCGAATTTAACAAAAAAACAAAAACATTTTATGATATGATGATTTTAGTAATACACTAAATGATTATTATTCTATTTTAGGGAGTAATAAATTCTGTGAATCTGAATATACTATTAAAAACATACATATATAAGTGTGGGATGAGTTTAATAAAAAAAAATGATATCAAATAAAGATAGAGTGCCTTTTTTGCAATAAGAAAAACTTACTAAATTCAGAATCTTCGTGTTTCACATAAGACATAGTAGAACTTGTGAATTAAATAATGTTGTTAACTTTGTGCACTTTATTCTGGTTATGTAATAATATATATCTAAAAATATAATAAAAAAAAGATCAAATCAACAAAAAATTTCCGATTTTGAATGAGAAAATTCATACTTAAAATGAATATATAATAAGAAGTAGTGGGAACAAAATCGTCTAATGACGTAGCATGATATCTATTATTGTAAAAATGAACTATTGAAAATAAATAATTATTTCGTTGATGATGAAAGATGAATAATATTTTATGGGCAACCAATCATAGAAATAGACGTGACAATCTGCGTACAAATAAATGTTAATTACTGACATCTGTTCGAAAAGCTATAGTATCACATGTTGTTATTAAATAACGCGTGATTGGAAAACTTTTAGAAAAGATGTTTCTTCTTTTTGAACATATTTCTATCGAGTCAAAAGTTGTGATGTAATCAGAAATTTAAGTGTGCATGGAGTTGAACTTGTTTTTGGTTTCTTTCAGATACTAAACATTTTTATATAGATCGAATCGATGTCGCTAAATTCTAATGCTAATATCGCATCGAAGCTAAAAAATGATGTCTGTATATTAGCTACCCTAGACTTGCTATTAGCTAGTTCATATACAGGAACAAAATATAGCTAAAACAAAAAAGAATAAATATTTATTTGAGTATAAGCCCCTGTATCCTCGAAATCGATGAAAAATTGACGATTAATCGTGATATATCGAAACGATAATAGTGAGTTGAAACGTGATAAATCAACGATTTTTATGCTCGATATTTATCCTTCCTTATATCGATAATAGATGTGATTTGGTTGATGTAACCTCGGTTTCTACTATTATGTTCCTATTAGTAATTTGTAATGGCGAATATTTTTATCTAAAAATTGACTTCTCACTTCATTTTACATACATGAAAGATCTAATAAAAAGCTTTAAAAAAATCGATACAACATGCAATTTCATTTGAAAACACAATCAACAAAGAAAGAAAGCAAAATAAAAAGCAATGTTTATATATTCAAATTCATGTTTCGAATCGAGTTTTTCTCTAAAGTTGCTTTACGTATATATGTTTTTTGGTAATAAGTTAGATCTCTAAAACAGAGAAAGAAGTAGAAACCGTAATTAACGAAGAGGGCCTACATACATTGTAGACAAGATCAGAATTCTATTATTGACTAGACAGCTATCAATCAGAACTGAAATTCCAACAAATTAGAATTCGACTCTAAATAAATTCATGTGATTCCATGCTTTACTAAAAATTGATCGAAATGAGAAGGAAGAGAGAAATCTAATCGTAGCGATCGTGTCAATAAGCGATATAAATAAACATGTACACGTTATAATCTAATAAAAATGTCTGAATCATATTCCATGGTCTATTGCACTTGCGACCATGAAGGCAAATACATTGTAAAAACTATGCTTGTATAAAAACCAAACGAGTTTTTAGTTCGACAAAATGTCATTCAAAATGAAGTAGTTTATATAAATATGAATGAATAGATCAAAATGTATTGTTTTTGTAAATTATGCAGTGAAATAAAAAGTTATTGCTGAATAAAAGCAAATAGATATTCAATTCAGATTTTAATCATTTGAATTTATACGGAATATATTATATTAATAAATTTTTCATGAATATTTAAATGTAAAAGGAAACCGTATCAATTTTCGAAATGCTTTGCAAATAAATAGTTGAGATCAATGAAAGGGTAGAATTCGAACAGAATAATGAAATTATATTAAAGTACTATAATCTAATAGTATAGCATTAGATAAAAGGACATTAAATAAGATTATGTCAACAATCAAAGAGTGTTACAAAGTAAAAGCGTATCACACGTCTTATCTATACAACCAAACATATAGAAATTTTCAGAACATACTCTCAATAGTTAGTTTCTTCATACTAAGACAGATTATTATATGTGCAAGAAATCATTTCTCTTATTAAATTTCAAAGATACTATTTAGCTTTTCATTCGAATAAAATTGTTCATCTTAGAACCTGTACGGTCACACATTTTCGAGCATGAATACAGTTGAATGAAATTTTTCGAACCCGAACTATTATTATTATTACGATATATGTAAAGCCATATAACTTTATAAATATTTATTTTTAAATAAATGAATACATTGAATTAAAGAAGAAAAATGATAAACATATGTGAAATTTTGAATAGACAAAAAGCAATTAATGAACTAAAAAATTTTCAAATCTAGATAAAATTTATATCTAAATAACAATAAAATTTCATTTACGTTAAATGAGATTATTCATTATGAATATCTATAAATAAATGAACTTCGTCTTTCCCTATAATCAAATTCTCGTTTAACAGACTATTTCTTATTTTTTCAATAACATCAAAGCTTTAATGAAATGTCTTTTTGATGAACTGAGCAACGAATTGTCTTTTTTCATGTATCATTTAACCACCCGCTAACCATCAAACTTGGCGTCATTGCTCTATTTTCCCATCACTTGATCTCAATAGTCACTTATCCATTAAAAGGAAAGAAAAAAAACTAAAGATCAAAGATATTAAAATACAATGCATACTTCATTCTATGATAATGATATTTCCATGAAAGAAAAATAAAAAATAAAAAATAAAAAGATTTTGTTTTTTCGAAATCCACGCGTGAGCAATCGAATTATTCAAACAAACATGCAATCGCTTGTCAACAACGATTATGAACACGCGTCAATATCAATGGTGGGAAAAGAAAAAATGTTCGTGTATTGGAATTATCGCTGTTTGCTATCTCTCATCGTTGATGAATCTGATTATAGATGGTGGTGGCGTGTAGTAGTCGATAGAAAAAAGCTATCGACAGCTGACCAATATAATAGTGGAAAGAAAGAAGAAGAAGAAAAAAATTTGATCGTATTTCTTCCTTCCTCTTTTCTCTCTTTACCTTCAAATTGAATATAAATATCGATAGGAAAGAAGAAAAAAAAAAGGCGAATGACCTCTCACATATTCGTTTCAATGCCAATCTATCACCACCATCCATAAAATTATAGTCACATTTAATATTACTATTCGTAATGTTGTATGACGACGAATTCTACATGTGATTTTAATCGATTAATGTATCTACTTGATACAAATAATCTTGATGATGCACGAATATTACTTAAACGACAAACAATAGTTATGCGAAATAATCTTTTTGATAAACTTGATAATGATAATAATACATTACTTCATCGTTATGTTCTTCGAAATCATGCTGATGCTGTACATTTATTATTAGAATATGGTGCTTCAGTTTATTCAGTAAATAAATATGGTTGGTTACCAATACATTTAGCAGCATATTGTGGACATAATAGAACTATTATACAATATCTACTTGAATTTGAAAAAAGGTAGATCAATATGTGTGTGTGTTTTTGTTTTCGTTATTGTTATTGTTTAATAAAATATTACGATTTATTGTTAATTGGATTCCACTGTCTAGATATTCATATCAAATGGGGAGACAAATGAGAAAAATAAGATTGTATTTAACGGAAAATTTTATTATGAATAAAAAAATCAAATGAGAATGAAGGTGATAAAATCGTTGATGATAAACAGTTGACAGCTATGCTACCAAGCAATAGAAAATTGAGTATTATTACACCTGTAGATCGGTTTAATGATGGTGTTGAAGTTGGTAGCTGAATAGAATAAAAAGGTGTTAAAGAATTTTTTCATCGATTAAAATTTATAGAATTTTTTTTTGTATTACTAGAACGATTTAAGAATATTATTCCATGTTAATTGCTTGTTCATATTGATAATCAAGTGTTAATGTATGTATTCATTGATGATGACTTATATTTTCATCAAGTATGATATTTCAGCTTATTGCAAGTGTATTCATTCTTCTAATAAACTTACAAAAAAAAATTCATTCGTTTTTGAGTCGAGACTATATGCATTATATTGACTCCAATGAGCTATCAATATCCTAATAAAAGTTCATGACCTTAGCTGATTGTTGCGAAGATATTGAACTTTTACAGTAGTTTTTAAATGAAAGACGTGGTCTCCTTCAGGAATACTAATTTTTTGAATATTAACTTAAAAATTTGCATAGAAATAGACTTTGATGAGGATAGTTTATTATGAGAGTTTTAGATCTTTTAATTTGCTGCTATCCTGAAATGTGAATCTATGATCTATCGGTGTATATATGTGATGTAAAGGATACTGTATTGCTGTAGCTGTATCTTAGAATAGGAATAACGAAAAGATCTAAAACATTAATTTCGGTTTACATAATGTACATGGTCTTGATTCAAAAGACACAAATCGTTTGAAGAAATTTCCTCAATAGTTTACTATCTATTTGTATTGATACAATCAGAACTAAATAAAAGCGAACATTCTTGAACAATCGTATAGTATGGTTTCTAACGATCTAAAAAAGAAGAAGCATTGATTGAAGCTAGTTTTGAATAAGTTTACATCTATGATGCTTAGAAAATTGATCATCAGCGTTGAATTGATGTTTTAAAGGCATAAATAAAACAAAAGAACATAATTGTAATCACTATTCATATTAATAAACAATAAAAGACATTAGTACAAAAGATAAGTTCATAAGAAAAACGTTTATTGTTTAATT